CTGCCTGCCAGGTTAAACCACGACATTGCCCGAACACATTTTCCTCTCCAAGTGATAAAGTGTGACATCACAAGGTTTAACGAGGGCTCTCACAAGCGTACACGTTATCAGTAGGCTCAAGGCTATCATAGCTTGTGCATCTCTCGCAGTGGAGCAACATGGGCTGGACGCCAACCCTCAGGAGTTCGGTGGGGGAAGTCCCTGCTTGGAGGCTGCTGATCGGGGTGTGGGTATGGGAAATTCTAACTGCAATGAAACATTACGAAATTAAGCAATTACCTGTGTTCTGTTTATTAGCACCATTGCACTATAAAATCATCAGTACCCAAGAAGGGTACCTTTGGATCCAATATTATAATAAGCCATAAAATATGTATGGTCCAAATAAACACTTTAATTTAAGACTCCTCAGAAATCAAGGGAATTGGGTGAACTTAATTTGGACCCATCTCTTTGTACTTGATTGCATACCTACTAGAAAGTGAGAGACCATGAAAGCAATGTCTGTGTTGTTAACTTAATGAAAATGGCTTTCTTTTCTAAATTTTTGCAAAAGATGCTGTGTGCTTTTGGCCGAGCTACATAGAATTTTCCTTGCTAGCAATTGTCTGTAAAATAAGGGTAATCATAGTTTTTCACCTTGCCTTGGGTTGCAAAGTATTGATACTTAAGAAATACCGAGATCTTGAGTGCTGGAGGACATTAGAGAAGGATAAAGTATCGCTATTGCAAGTATATTTGTAGCATTATTATGCATTCCATATTCCATTATTATTTTTATTTTTGTGAATTCACACATGCATGGAAAATGCATTTCTATTTTTATATAGGGAACAACGCATGAAGCAGATAAATTGCTTTTTTATTCTGAAACCGAGAGATCAGTTTGTCACTAGGTCTGAAATCTTCCAGGACGCTTAGGCAACTCACCATTTTTCTCAGTGGATGTCGGCGTAGTGATCCTGAAGGGAAGACCGTTGTACATCGAGCAGTTAGTAACCCACAACAGAGTTAACCCGAGCACACCCAGGCCTGTGCTGTGCCGCTCTGCCCGTGCAGCGTGGCCTTCGGGCCTGCGCTGTGCTTCAAAGATTCCCCGGCGCAGGAGGAACTCAGCCAGCTCTTCCTTACACAGGAGCCCACAGGCAGCTCCCACCCAGTACCTATGGTTACGCCACTGCATCATCTTGCCTTTATCGATCAAGACTTTCTCACACCAACAGTTTCTGTTTGACTGCAGACATGATACACAGAGCTGTTTCCTTACATAAAAATCCTACAATACCTTGAAAGACCAAAAGGGAAGACTCTCTGCTAAGGACCATGTCTGCATGGTGTGCTGTGTTGTGGGTCAGAGTCCTGTTACATGCTACGCTGCTCGGGGTTCCCAGCATCTAAAGGGATGTAAGGGTATCTATGCTATTCTCTTCTTAGAGTGTTACTCTAATAAATAGCATTTTTACTGATACCTTACAGAATGTGAGTGCCTTTCTTACTGGGATCATAATGGATCAGCACCTCCTAGTGCAAAACATTTGGCACAATCGGCAGGTCTCAGTGAAAAATGCCTTTCTGGAGAAAGAATAAAGAAGAAAAGAGAAACTCTGCCTGGCCGGCCCTGCACAAATCCATAAGGGGTATTTGCAAGGTCTTTAGCCCAGGCGGTTTCCCCAGTGGATTTAGAAACTGAGAAGGAAATATCAGAATGCCCCACCCCAACTGAAGTATTATGCTGCCTTAGAAAACAGGGGCCAGGGAAAGGAAAAGCCAAGGAGAATTTGTACTGTCTTTGGTTGTTATTAACATGCTTGAAACGGGCATGGCGGTGCTTACAGCCAATGCAGAAAGACCTGCGTGAGCTACTGGTGCAGCTCCGCACCGCAGCCCACAAGCAGGAGGCTGCGGGGCAGGCGCCTGCGGTACAGCTGCCCGTGGTGCAAGTGTCTGTGGTGCAGCCAGCTGCGCTGCAAGCGCCCGCGGCACAGGCAGCCACGGTGCAGGTGCCTGTGGTGCAAGGGGGGCACGCGGAGCAGCCCCGGAAGGGCACCACTGAGGCACGAGCTGTTTGCCAGGGGGATGAGTGGTGGGGTGAGGACCGCTGATCCTCTGGTGAGGAAGAGCTGGCAGAAGGGTCAGAGGATGAGTGTGGCAACAGCGTTTCCGTCCAGCCACTAGTGATTCACAAAGCAAAGGGGCCCCCCAGCCCACTCTCGTGGTGTGCGATTTTATACAGCCCGAGTTTCAAGATTTAGCAAAAGCATATGGGCAAAAGGCGGGGGAAAGGCTGGTCCACTGGCTGTTGCAAGTATGCGACTTTGGAGGAGGTAGTGTACACTTAAATCCTAAACAATTAGAGTGCTTGGGTGCCATCTCGCAAAACCCTGATTACGCAGCAGCTCAGAGCAGCACAGGGTAATGCAGCCCGCTCCTTGTGGGTATGGCTTCAGGAGGCTTGAAAGACAGAGTATCTCTCACCTGCTGACTGGGATGACAAAACAGCATTGTGGAAAAGTATATCTGAGGCTTGTCAGTATTTACAGGAACCGGCCACATGGCCAGGTGTGTGTTCATGTAACTTGTTAGGTCATGGTATGGAACTTTTTGCACCCAGTATGAAAACACCCCTATTAGAGGGTACCTCATTTGCCTTGAAAATAATTTCCTTGCTAGGGGCTGCTGTGGGAAAAGCCAGTGAGGGAGGTTATTCTATCACTAAGACAGCTCGCAATTATCAGACTGAAGAGACAGAGCCTGAAGCATTTCAAGTGCAGCAGCTCATGTTCTACAGGAACATCTTGCTGCACCGTTCGATAAGGGCAAGGCCACACAGGTGGTGTAATCCCAGGCACTGAGCGGGAGCTGCCTGCGGGCTCCGCTTTTAGGAAGAGTTGGCTGAGTTTTTGCTGTGGCCAAGGGATCTGCGCAACACAGCACAGGCCTGAAGGCCACGCTGTGCGTGCAGCGCGGCACAGCACAGGCACACAGAACGGTGACCGTAGCCAAATTTGCCTGTGAGTAATGACAGTGCTTCCCAGAGTAAGGCAGGCGGCTTTAAAACACTGTGTAAACACACAGATGATTTACAGGCTACAAGAAAGTTCACGAGCTTCCTGAAGTTACCTAGGGTGTAGTAATATGGCTGGTGAAAGGAAAAAACCAAAAAATTGAGCACTTCCCTTCTTTAGTCACTCAGCCATGCAGAATTGCTCCTAGAGCAGGTACCCGTTTTAATCAGAACATTTGATTTCTCTACCCACACCAAAGCCCTTCTGCCCCCAGATGAGATACTGTGATCTGGACTGCTGATTCACACCCAGCAGGTGTAAGGCGAGAACAAGACAGAACACTTTCTACACAAATGTATGTTTATTTTGTTAAAAAATAAGAGTTACACTTGCACCAGAGGCTTCTTTGTAGTCAGAATGCCCTTCTCAAACAGGAGCGTGGCTAGAGAAATCTTGTCCTCCAAGGTTTCACATGGAAGGGTATCCACACTGACGTGGTTTGGATAGGAAGACAGGAGAAATTCGATACTGTCTGTATACTCGGGATCTATCTCAAGAAACTTGGGTTCCTCCTTGTGATACACTCGTGAGTTTTCTGTTGTGTAATACAGCACCACACCTGTTTCTTCATTACACAATCTAATGATGCCATGGCGGAGAAGACGTACTTCTGTCTCTTTTGTTATCAGTATATCAACATCACAGGGACCTCCATCTTGCCAGCGGGCCGGGAAGCCGTACACGCTCCGCGCCTTTTCACTTTGCGTAAGCACTGGGGGGAGACAGTCATGAAGAAAGGACTTGGCTCTCTGATCCACGGCAGCATCGATGGGTGCATAGTCAACAAGCTTCTTTATCAGGCTCTGCACCTTCTCCATAAAGGCCGTTCGGCGAGCGTCGACTGCATCCGACTTGGCGACCCCCATGTACCCCAGGTAGTCCATGGGAAGCCCTTGCCGGTACTCCACGTCCTCCTCCAGGGCCATCTGCAGAGCAGCCGGGAGGAGCTTCTCCAGGAAGTCCCCCCAGGAGTTCCTCTGGTAGGAGGACACCGTGATGTGGAGCGAGTGCGCGTCAGGGAGACAGTCACCCTGGTGGATAAAGCCCCGGGGGAAGTACAGCAGGTCCCCGGCCTCCAGCACCGTCTCCAGCACGGGCTCGCCAAGCTCAGCCTGCGTGAGGTTTGCGCTGGAGAACTGGGGCAGCACCTCGGCGTCCGTCCGGGGGCTGTAGACG